AAAAAAAAAAAAAAGAATTATTTGTCTAGCTACCAGGCCGGTGAGCTGCTCTCTCCAGGACCTCTTGCCAAGGCCTTCATGGGGGCCTTGGCAATCACAGTTTACACTCCAGCGTCTGAACTGAGGCTTTGTGTGGGCTATCCTTAGCTGGCTGTATGTCCTCAGGGTGGTGCAGAGCCACCAGCAGTTGGTATGTGGCTGTGCCAAGGACAGCCCCCACCAGAGGGGCCACCACTGGCACCCACCACCAGCCATTACCAGCACTGCAAGAGAAGGACAAGAGAGAAAAGTTATGAATTATAAGAGAAAAAGACTCCTTAGCCTCCTTCTCTCCAAGGACTGGGGGCAGTAACAAAAGATCTCCCTAAAGTAGTTCCTGTGACAGTCATAGACAGCTGGAAAAGTACTGTCTTGACACAAAAGATAGTAATCAGAGAGGAACTCCAGGAGACCTTTGTCCAGCCTCTTGCCTTAGAGAATTATCTGAATACGTTCATTTTGCTGATGAGGTCAATAATGCCCAAAGAGGTGATATGATGGATACAACTTCTAAATCTCACTGTGTCAGTGAAAAGGGGGCAGGGAAGCAACCGAGGAAGGGAGAAGATATGGCTTGAAGAAGGGACACTGTACTAAGAGGCCAAGAGAGGAGGAGAATGCTGGCAGAGCCGGTAGCAGAGGGAAGTGAGTGAAGGATGTCACCAGGGAGGCTGTCTCCCACCTGAAGACTTCAGGGCCCCAGCCAGCCATGTAGGTGAAGAGCCGTGGGCCCAGGTCCCGGGCAGGGTTGAGTGGGATCCCGCAGTTGGCACCCATGGACAGCCCAATGACCAGGATCAGCAGCCCCACGACCACAGGCTCCAGACCTGCAGGCACGCCCTTGTTCCGACTGTCCAGGATGGCCAAGAGCCCCACAATCAGGATCCCAGTGCCCAAAACCTTGGAGCAGATAGAGACAAAAGGGTCCCCAAAGGTTCCAGGTGCTCCACCATCTCCCTGGCATCTGGCTTTATCTAACACAGCCAAGGAGAGTGCCAAGGTAGAGCCAACCCACCACCCTACCTAAAGACTGAACAAGAAGCTGGGGGTCCCAGGGGACAGGGCAGTGTTTGGGTCTCCTGGGTCTCACCCTCACACCTACCTGATCTAGGAAACCATTGTTCAGGGATAGATAGGGCGCAGGATAGGTGGCAAAGATGGAGGCTGTCTCTTTGGGGCCAGTTACTGTCAGGTTGCCACCTGTATAGTTTTGCAGGGCATCTGTGGAGGAGGGGGACACCCAAGGTTTCCATCTTTGTGCATCCAAAACCATCTGAGGCACCTCCACACACACAGTTGCCCCAACCCTGTTCCTTCTCTTACCATAGTACAGAATATAGGTGGTTCCCGAGGCACAGAAAGAAGACAGCAGCTGCACCAAGGAGTAAATGGGGAGCTTTGCCCAGGGGAGGCGTCCGAGGAGACACATGGACAGAGAGAAGGCTGGGTTCAGGTGAGCCCCTTCAAGGATGAAGTAAAGAAAACCAGTATCCATTAATTGTTCTGGGCACTGTCAACAAGCAACACTGCTACTCTTTTTTTTTTTTTTT